TTCAAAATATCTGCTTTTGTGTTACCCAGAAGAACTTCATACTGGTAACTTCATCCTACCCCTTTAAGAATCCAATATTCAGAAACCTCAGATGCACTGAGCATAATTTTACAGCTCATATTTAAGTGACAAAATCCATAGGTAGAATGTGCCTATCATTATTACTTGATGGGGCATTAAGAGCTTTTGATGAGTTGCTCTCATGTCCAGCTGAGCAGGGTGAAACTGGAGCAGGGCGTGTGGTAATACGGTAAAATCAACAACATAGCGCTTCACCTTGCCGGGGTCTAAGTCGCTGCACCATGAATCATCAGTTCACCCTGAGCATGGAGACCCCCCGCAATAAACACACATCCCACCCTTACCGCCAAGTCCCAGTCGCACACTTGCTTAGTCACCTCCTCAAGAACTTTAATGCCTAATAATGACTAAGTAGGGAGACAGGGAACAAGGTGGATGTACTGTATTCAATCTGTCCTCGATGGTAATATAGAAACTGGAGGTCAGAAAAAGAGATTGGGTGTGCTCAGCAGTCATTATTCATGTTTAAAGAAGTCCCTCTGTGCTTTTTCATGACCATCTCAGTCGCTGATGTGCAACTTTGTTTAGTGATGCATCTGTGTCCATTTCCACAGCCCATTACAGGCATCTGTCTCCATTAAAGACCAAGATGAGAGAGGATCCCCATAGAGAGAAAGAACAAGGGGGGCTTTCCACTGACTTCTATTGTTTTAAAGTGAGCTAATCATATTTTTTTTAATCTATTATCCCTTAGAGAAACCTTTCTGCATTTTTACATTTGGATTAAGATATTTATTGTGCTTATTAAACTGTTTTCCTCGTCAAGACCAGAAATCTCAATTTCTGGTCATGTGCCATTCAGAGTTTAATTGAGAATGCATTTAATTCTTAAATTCAAAATGAAATAAACTGAGGTAGAAAAAAGGGTACAGAATTACAATTCAAAATTGGATTGTAGGAATTATAACAATTATGTAACTAGTACAAAAGCAAAGTTTGTCTAAAAACAGAGAACAACAGACGAACAGAATGCCAGATAAATGGATAGATAGATAGATAGATAGATAGATAGATAGACAGACAAAATGGATAGAAAGAAAGAAACATAGACAGACATACAAATACTGTAGATACAGACAGATAGATTAGTATAATAATTTTTTATACTAAGCTAATGATATTTTTCATCCCCTAAATTTTTAGAATTTCAACAACATTATTTTGTATGTTTATAAAGTCGTTTTTCTGGCTAGTCTGTAACACAGGCAAAACCTGACCCAAATACACACAAAGACATGTGTACACACATGCTGAGCATGTTTAAAGAAAGATGTAGCTTATATGGCAATGTTTTATTAACCTTAATAAAAGAATACTGAAAAAACAAGCATTGGACTACATAAAACCCTTTTCACACTTGCGATACACAGAATCACACATCGAGGAACAGAGCATAATTATTATGACATGAATTTAGAAAAAGCCCAGTGGATGGGGATGAGCAGAGGTGAAAAAGAAAGTACTTAAAATTTCACACCACAGAGCATAGAATGAAGAAAACAAACACGTTCGACCCAAAGTCACTGCTCGGACCTAAGGCTTTTGCTTAATGAGAGGAGAAAGAGGAGAAGAGGAGAAAGAGGAGAAGACGATGACTAAGTGAGAGAGGCAGACTGAATGATAAACATGTCAAATATGACAAATACGTCACACATTTCAGAGATAAACAAGAACTTTGATGGGTGCGTTTGTATCTATTAGTCATCAAGGTGTAAATTAATTTGCTGTCGGCTTTTCATCAAGGTGGGAGTGGAGCAGAGAAGCGGTAAGATGTTTGGTGACCTGCAGTTATCTGTCGCTATGAAAATGACAGTTTGGGAATTGATAAATGTGAAGCTGTTTGAACTACAGTCTTGGTCTTATCTTAAGACAAGCCACCTGCACCCTCACATTAGTCCCTCCCCCCAAACGTTAATGTCTAAAGTCTGACCGTCAGACATTAAAGTGAAAAGAAAATGTCACTCAAGGCCCTCTGTCTACTTAGACCTTTCACAATAGTCAGAAATTTTTTTTTTTTTTTTACTACAAATGTTACATAATTTCATGAAATGGTTAGACGGTATGATTCATGCTGTTTATTAGTACATTGCATATTAGGTTAAATCTTACATTTTGTTGATTTTAATGTTCTTTTTTGACTCCTCCAAAAAGTGTTACCACTCTGTGGCACTATCAAAACTTTGCTCTGTTTGTTTGAACATTCTGATCAGCCTAACATAGCAACAGGCTCAACCAATACTGTTAGTATGGGGCGGAGCTATCCTTTTGGCTGACCAATGGGGGCGAAAAAAACAACATTAGTGGTGCGAAAATTACATGCTTCACCTTTAGGAGGGATTCAGTCCACCTTATTTTTCAAAGCGGAAGTAAGCTGTTTTCTGTGAATGTGCAAGACTTCTGTTTCAATAGCCACTATGGGAAATAACGAGAAGAATATCAAAGTGCAGTAAACAGTAAAACTGTACGCACTACAAACCAGTGTGTTTATAATTAAGTTTATAATTAAGACAATAATTAAGGCTCTAACGTGAAAAATAAGGTGGATAAAATTAGTCTGTCAAAAACATTTTTAAAAACTGAGAAACAACTCAAAATTATGGTACAATGCAGATACCATTAATCAAACTTAACTAGGGGCTCATCAAAGCCAAAAAGCATAATTCATGAGATTACATTTGAATGAAAATGGGATGATATTATACAAAATAAAAATATTACAATATTAATAATTTGCTTTTTTATTTCAAATACATTTTTTTAATTGATATTTAGTCTACTGTCTGTCCAGAATTGTTGGTTTCGGCAAAGAACTTTAATTTCAGTGCATTGTTCAGCTTGCACAAATAACCCCGAATATACGCATTATGTATCTTGTAGCCCTTGGATTTAACACTTTTGAATGAACCTTTCTGGTGCTCGGGGAAGAGCCAGACGTCATCTGAGTGTGATGGGATCGATATACTCAGGTTTGGCAATGAGTCACTGCTTTTAATGCTCCAGCAAACACGAGACAATAAGACTGGGAATATGTCCCCTTTTCCTGTATGGACAAACAACCAATGCAGACAGCACTTTCAGATCTCGTGGTAATAAAAAAACTCAAGCCCTTTACAGATGCACACCTTTTAGTTTATCCAACTGTGTCATCTTCCCTCTGAGATTTATAGGATGATGAAAAAACCTGTATATAAAGGTTTGAAGTATCACCAGCTGCCTTGATATAGCAGGGCAACTCATGGGCAATGGGAAGCACAGCAGCTTTGCTTACAACAGGAGTGTTATAGATCTGAATCTCAGCTGTCTGAGATGTTTCTGTGATAGTGGTTTGCAGAAGCCAGACTGCAGTAGACACAGATCTGACCTGTGGCATCACTTCTAATGTCTAATCTCAGCATGAACAAGAGTCATTGGATATTACATGAACGCAGTGGGTATTTTTCGATAAGAGTTTAAAGAAACGTCTTAGGTCTCCTATAGTGTTTTAATTCTGATTTGAATTATTACAGTAATATGCATCAGGGCCATTTCAATATCAAAGTCAGAGCTTTATGCGCCACAGGGTTTTTATAAACAAAGAAATTACTGAATGGAAATGTTTTTTGCAGAGTTCACTCTAATGCCTTATTCTAGATCAGTTGTTCTCAATTGGTTTTGCTTCAGGGCTTTACTTAGGACATCAAGTGGTGACCCAACACAGAAACCAAAATTGTTTGTCATGCAAATGTAAATAAAAACATCATTCAAATCTTAACATATGAAAAAAAGAAAACAGTGACTCCCCCAAATATTCATCTTGAGGCAGGGGATTTGTTAAACAGTTATTTAAAGGGGGAGAGTTTAGATTCACAGAGTTAACTAGGGATTCTCTGATGTAAAAATTCTGGCAGATAATTATTTATTTATTTTAATTTTATAGCCAATAACCTAGAAATGGGTAATAGTAAAATTCTATACTTTGTTTAAATCAGTGGTTCTCAACTGGGGCAAAGGGGCCTCTGCAAATTTCCTGGGGTCACCAATACATCTATAAATTATTTACATTTACATAATATTATCATGATTTTCAATGTCATAAAACACAAAAAATAAAGATGTTCGATATTAAAATGAAATCATATTTTGAGGTCAGATGTACTGGTCATATTTTGAGGTCAGATGTACTGGTCTAAATACATTAAACAAAACTAAAATTAATCATTTTCATTAATAATTTGCTACAAGTAAATGTAGGTATTGCAACATTATAATATACAGTATTAAAAATGGATATTTATTTTGAGTTTTTAATCAAGATTACATTTTACAGTGTTATTAAATTACTTGTGTTTTAAAGACTAACTTTAAGTGAGCATTAGATGATGGCAAAAGTAATCTAAATGTGAAAAAAAAATGAGCCTGCGCAATTAAATTTTCCTAAATCAGTTAACACTGGCAAATTTTAATAATGAAAGAAAGAAAGAAAGAAAGAAAAAAGAAAGAAAGAAATGACTCTAATATGGATTGTTAACCGATATGGTATGAATTTATATCATGCACCCCAAGAGTTGCTGATAGTGTAAATCACTCTATACAGAAAAAATAGCCTAATCGTTAGGGATGTGACGATTGACTCAACTCACGATTTGATTCGATTCACAATTCTGATCTCACGTTTCGATTTTTTCACGATTTTCTCAACAAAATGAGTTGAGACAAATTACAAATGAACAAGTGCCCTTTTATTATTTCACAAATGCTGCACATTTCTTAAAATATATTTTATGTCAATTAACATAACTAAATTGCAATAATAAAACACAATCCAAAAAAAAAAAAAAGAATAATACAAATAAAATATATCTCTTTAATATAAACAAACTAAGACTCTGTCTGTGCTTTCCCTAGCTTGGATATTTTTACATGTTTTTTTTAAAGAAATATCAGCATATCCACGTTTTCTGGCATTAGCTGAGATCTCTGCACATTTACAATGTCCCCTGCTGATGAAAAAACCCTTTCACTAGGGACTGAGGTGGCTGGTGTGGAGAGGTATGCTTTTGCTAGACCAGAGAGCAGTGGGTACAGCCTAGCATTCTCTTTCCACCACTTGAGTGGGTAGCTGTTGAGGGAAAAGGATGTTTCAGCTCTGTACTTATTCATTTCTGCATCAATCTGACTAATAGGCTGTGCAGCTGCAGCTGGTTCATCGAAACCTCCAAGAAGATCCTCCAGTGCAGTTTTCTTAGGAGGAGGTTGTTTCTGCTCAGCTCCTGTGCTATCTGTCTGGTCAAGAGGCTCCTCTGTTGCAGGTGGGTGGCCACTGGCACCTTCTTCACCCTCATCCTGCACAGAGTAATAGCAGAAATAAAAAGACTGATTATATAGTACAATAGTGACAGGAGTTTCACATGGTTATAAAGGCAAAATTTTAATATTATTTGTTATAATTTGTATCATTACAATACACTTACAAGTTACAAGAGATAAACTTGAACACTTTTTTAATATGCAACAATAATCAACAAATGATTAAAAATCCATAAACAAATTTGGAGAAAGAGAGGGTAAAAAAAAACAATACCTGGTTCTGCAACAGCGCAGCTTTCTCTTTCAGTCTGTGGAATACACCTTCACGCTGGTTTTTCTCTAGATGTGGCAGAGCCCGGAATCTGGGGTCTAAGGCAGTGCACTCCAGCAGGTAGTTGTACTCCAAAGTGTATCTGTATGAAAGGTTGTTCAGTATAGCTCTCTTCATGTTACTCACAGTGAGGGAGTCTTCTTCGTTGGATGCCATGTTTTGCTTGATCATATGCTTTAAGGGCACAATGAGAGACACCGTTGGATTTTTTTCGTCACACAGCACAGTCGTAGCCGTTTTCAGTGGCTTAAGAAGCGTCACTATGTCCTCCGCATCACGGATGTCTGAGCCATCCAAAGTATCAATGTCACGTACATTTCGCAGAACGTCATTGCTCAGGAGAGTCGCTGTCACAACCGCTTGCTGTTCGAGATAGGGTTCGATCATATCCAGACTGCTGTTCCAGCGCGTAGGGACATCTATGATTAACTTGTGCGCTGGAAAATCCAGCAGTATCTGTTTGGCCGCAAGCGCGGCTGTGGCCGTGGAGCAGGGGTGTAGCCATCATTTCAGAAGTGAGGGAGACAGAAATGATATATA